CGGGTGCTTCGTCAGGGCGGGTTTCGTGGAGGCCGGGGGAGCAGATCTGCTTCCCTGTGGTGCAGCTGCAGCTATGCTGGAACCTGCCGTGTGGTGTTCTTAGTGTGCTGGGGAATATTGTCACTTGCGTGGATTTCGGTTCAAAATGGCTTAAGAGAAGCTTGTGGAAGCATTCATTATCTCCCAGCTCCTCCCAATGCGTAATAACAAATCATCACATTATTGAGAGTGACTTGGAAAAGTTTCAGAAAACGTGCGTCTGTATGAAGAGTAGATTGTAAGTTCTTTGTTAAATTCACATTATGTTTGCTCGGTACTGCGCATTTTAGGCGATGGGTTCTGGATTATTTACGAGGCATCTGGATGAGCCAGTAGAGCAGCGCAGGTAGCGGTGCGGGGTTTGTCTGGGCTGTGCCGGGTGCCACCAGTGTTCCGACAGCAGAGTCCCCTGCTCCTCGCCCGCCCTGAGGACAGGGAGCCCGTCGGGAGAGGAGGGTGAGCCCCTACGGCTCAGGGTGCGCTTCTAGTCATGCTTTGGAGGCTTAAACTGCATAGGGAGCTAAGTGGGTCCGCTTTGCTCTGTGCGTGCTGGATGCTTGTCTAGGTGCCGAAGCAGAGCTCTCTCCTGGGTTTGGTTCATCGGCAATAGTGTTTTCACCATTACTGGTCACTAGCTTCTGTTGTTTTGGACTCCTCAGGTAGTCTGGCTGTTCGTGTGACATTATTATTATTTACATAGGGCCCAGACTTGCTCTTTTTTATTGCCTGCAGCACGATGTTTGTTCACACTGGGCATTGTGAAGTGTAAACCCAGGTCCCACTGGCACCAGCACTCACCTCTGCCTTTTCTAGAAGCAGTAAGTAACCAGCCATCTACATAGCCTAGAAATGCTGGGGTTTAATTGCTCTGAGGAGGGAATTGAATTAGGTAGCTCTGGTTCATGGCTTGTCTGGCTGCGCAGCAGTGACGCTTGTTTACACAAAGCACTGCCCTTTTATTTCGGGGTGCGTGGGGGGTGGATTCCTGGGGCATTACTGCCTGAAAGCCAGAGAAGACTTGCCCTAACTGGCTGCCTCTGCAGGAGACCACATGCTGAGGCAGTGGCACCTTTCCCCATCCTCCTCCTCAGCGAATTGTTTCAGCAGCTCTCTTGTCCTCTCCTCCTGCTTCCTGCAACAGCATCTCTCCGAAATTGGTTGGTCTTACCTGCTTCTATCCCCCTTTGAGTATCTCCCTCCCCTGAAGTACTTGGTGATGTCTCCCTTCTGGAAGATGCTCAGGCCTCTTCAAGGCCTCTATCTGCTTTGCATCAGACCATCCTGTGCTGCTTCATCTGTGTTCCCCTGGTGTTGAGACTCTCTGCAGCAAGCGCGGTTTTGCATACAGAGCCAGATACATCTGTGCTGCTACATGAAAATGGTCTGGTTCAGGAGGGTGCAATGGGACTGAAGACTTGCGGGGGAACCCCCAGCGTGTCTAACATCCGTAGTGGATGGGGAACCTCCCAATGAAGCTATTAGGAGCAGATTTCTTGCTGCTTAAAATGGCAGAGCTGCTTCAACCAGCCTGACTCAGGGATGAAATTTGCTCTCTGTTTGGGAGGAAAGGGAATGAGCTTGGGTTTTCCCATCGTTGCTAGATGGAAACCGGCCCATGCTAAGTATCCTGGAAACAATAAAATTAATCTCAGAAGAGGCTGCTGGCCCAAATTCCAAATCTATTGGGCATTGCACAAATGTACCCTCTTATCAAAAGCAAATGAAAGTGCAGAAGGTGTGTCTGGCCTAATCCTGTGTTTAACTTGGCAGTCTGTGGTGTGTCAGCACAGGCACTGTGGCATGCATGCAGGCTCTCGGTGCTCTCTGTCTTCTGCTGGGATGTGCTGCCAGGCAGCCCTTTAATTCTGCTCCTTTCTTTCAGGATCAGTCCATAATGCCTGAAGTGCGAGACCTCTCAGATGCCTTGCCTGACTTGCCGATGGATCCCATCACGGGTGTTGGTGTGGTTGCATCCCGGAACCGAGCACCGACAGGTTATGATGTAGTAAGTAGAGCTATTTCAGCTGCCATTGCTAATGCTTTGGTTCTGCACTAATGAGGCTTTACTTTGCTGGGAACAGCATCTCTTCCAGAGAGGGCTTGCCTTCAGACGTGCTTTAAGAAGTAATTTGATATCCAGCTGCCCACCTCTCAGCCCACAGCACTTAGTGCTTTCCCTCAGTGGAGGTTTGTGGGTGCAATCATACTACTTCATCTGTGCCACTCCAGAGGAGCATAATTACCTGGAGGAGGGGTTTTCAGAAACAGCTGGCCACTGTGGCATGCAAATTTAATAATCCTAGTAACATTCATCCTGAAGGAGTCGTAAGTATTGCACAAATTATATCTCTGAATAAATGGATCCCACATCAGCTGTTTAATCCCACATATCAGCACTGCACAATGATGATGAGAAGCTCCAGAATGGGAAGCAAAGAGTTTTGCATCCAGCTGAAATTGCAAGGATGATTTTGATGGACAGAATGCAAATCTGTAAACTTTGGCAGGAGGCTGGGCAGCAGGAAAAGGCAGCTGGATATAGCAGAGATGAATACGTGAATGGATAAAGGGAGGTCACTGTTTAGCAGCTGCTTGTTCCTTGGATTAGTTGTTGTGTAACCAACAGCATGATTTTTCTCCCTGTAGAATAGTGTCCCAAACAGTGAAGTATCATAAAATACTGACCTTGCAAAGCTCTATATGGAAAGATTTGGCCCCTTGTCCATCTTCTCACCTTTCTATGTATCCTGCTCCAACTGTGCTACATCACACCTTGGGTTTCCAGAGTCACACAGCTTGCGTGGTCAGGAGTGGAAACCAGTTGACTTAAGGCTTTGCTCGCACCTTTTCGGCTCTGGATCATTGCATACCCTGTTCAGTGTGAGAAGGAAGAAAATGGATCAGGCTGAAGTAAGGACACGAGGGAGGGAATTGTGAAAAGGCTCCTTAAAGACCTGGAAGGTTTTTGCATTTATTGCATTTTTCTGAGTGCTGATTACCTGTGTGAGCCAGGCTGTGTAATTAGCTGCTTGCCCTGATAAAGGAGCATGGGACAATGTGAGAGTTGTGATAACAGAATTGCATTCTGCCTAAATGACTGGGCAGAGAGAGCGCTCACCCCAGATAGCCTGTCTGTGGTTTAATAGGGAGCTTCAGCGCTAACGCAGTTTAAACTAAACAAGATAAAAGTGTCTTCCTGTGGCTTAATCCAATTACGGCGGTGTTGTAATAATGCTTGTGAATGTGGGTCGCTCTCTCCTAGGGGGCACAGAGAGGAGGCTGCCTTTCCTCTGGTTCTTCTGCCTTCCTCTCTGTTTACAAGGAGCTCTCCTCTGACCCTGGGGCCAGCAGTCCTGCTGCAGGCCGAGGGGACGTGCCTGCTGTCTGCAGTTGTCTTACCTGCATGGCTTCCACACGCTTACTCCTTCAGCCTCATGTAGGGCAAATCGGCAGTCCAGCTCTGTGCCTGGATGCTGTGAGCTGCAGTCGGCATCCTTTCCACTGTACAGCACCTGCTGTGATGGGGCCGCTCTGGGTGCCACCCTGATGTGACAGGATGTCCTGGTGCCCAAACCCACGGGATGGTGGCACGCAGGACTGTGCTTTTCTTGCCTTGTCTGGGAAGGTGGCTCCTCCGTGCGAGTCAGGGCTCTGGAGTAGTATGTGGTATGCGGGGTTGCCACTTCCCTGTGACCTCTCTGGAACCCAGTCTGTCCTATCTGAAGGCATGAAGCCAAGTATGCAGAAGTGTACTTCTCAATGCAGCACAGGAAGTCCTGTTCTGAGACGTGGGCAACGTGTGGACTTGGGCTGTTTCAGACTCTGTGTTTCTCCAGATATACCATTTCCCTAATGAGACACTGACAGTTGATTGTTGCCTCAGGGTATAAAGCCTTGAGGAAGGCAGCTGTGGCAGCACCATCCTAGGAGTGTACTCCCTAAAGCCGTAATAGTTAGAGGTTCAAACTGCACCCTGAAAAGGAGAACCACTGTCATCTTTTAGGATTATCTTGGGATGTTGTTGTAGTCCTCTTAGGGATCTGATTGCTTTGCCTTTTGCTACAGCATCCTGCAGCATTCAGTTCCACAGGTGAATTCAGTTGTGTGGGAAAGTATTTCCTCTTATTAGCGATGAATTTGATGTCGTGTAGTTTCACGGGTGGTTTTGAGTTTTGTGATGGTGAAGTACCCAGTTCTCTCTCTCTGAGACAGTTATGTTATTTATAGGCTTTACCCAGTTTCTCTTCCATTCATTTCCTTTCTCCAATAAACATTGCCGTATTCTTTTCCTTCCTTTTCCCTTTGCTCCTCTTTAAAACAAACAAGCAAAGGCATGGGTGCTTTCAGCCCAGGTGTAAGTTAAATGGCCAGGGGATGTCCTGGTCCGTTTCCCAGGTTCGCATGGTGCCTCAGAGTTTGGCGTGCTGCCCAGCTGGAGGTGGTGATGTGGCAGAGCCCAGGGTACCAGACCCTTGGCAAATGGGTCAGAGATCTTTTTCCCTTGGTAGTTTTTTAATTACTCAGAAATCTCCATTGCCTTTGTGTCTGCTTAGAAAATAGCTACTGACGCTTTTAATGACTAGCCAGGTCTTTTAATAGCTGAAGCACCGAAGACTTGATTTTGCCAAAATGTACAGTGTGTCTGAACTTAGGTTCCTGAAAATCTGCCCAAACTGGCAAGACTGAGCGTATGGGTGGGGAGGAAAGGGAGGAGAGGCAGGAAGCAGGGAGCCTGGGGTAGGAGAGAGGTGTGGTTCCTGTGCAGCCGTGTTCCTTGCTGCAGGCTGAACGCCAGCTCCACAGCAGGGTTTGCTCTGGGGCGAGAACCCGAGCATGCTGCTCACCCAGGGCCGTGCTGGAGCAGGGACAGCCCTGCACACCACTGGTGAGGCAGACCCACCCCATGGGGCAGGCGGTTTAGTGGGCTCGTTTGCCAAAGGCCAGTCCTGTGGTAGCTATAACCCCATAATGACTGCTGGGCAGCAGGTAGATCACCCCACACTTGGAGGGGTGAGCTGGGGGACACCTTCCTTACTAGGTGTCACTCCATCAAGTCCGTCTGTTTATAGCACGTGCTTGAGTCCCCCACCTCCATGAGGAGGACCATGCCTTGTGCCTGGGGCGCTGGGTGCCCAGTGCTGGGTGCCATGTCCTCTGTCCCACACATTCCTTGCTTCTTAGCCAAGTGGATGACTTGGTGAGCTGGGGCTGCACAGCACCTGTCCTGCCGGACAGGTCTGCGTCAGCCTCTCCAGGTCTGCTCCCTTCCCGTGTTGCCCCACTGAGGGCATGCTGCCATCGTGAAGCAGCGCTGCACAGGCACAGCTCTGCTTCGAGAGGTGGTGGGGATCCTCCTTGCCTTCATCACCAGCAGGTGATGTAAGAAGTTTCCTGTTTATATTGCTCTGTTTTCTTTCCCCATGAGTTTTCTGACAAGTTAATGCATGCTTACATTCTCCAGGCTTGGAA